CACGGGACTTCTAAGTCGTGAGACAATCATTTTATTTTGTAACTTCGTTTAACGATCAGACTGTTCAAGTGTGTTCTTCCTGCTTCGTCAAATAGAAAAAAGAAAGGGGTCACAAAATTTGAAGGAACTTAACGGAAAACACAATGAAACAAGTCATACGCAAAAGAGAGGCCAACGTAACCAATCATACTGGACAATTTGAATTTCATGTTTCTGTAAATTCTCCTTCTCCCTCTCGTCAGCACAGGTCTTTGTAAAGAATTTTCCCACGTGTTGTAATAGGTCATCGCATTTGCCTTAGACTTCAGAACCCGGAACCTTTTCTCCCGGTTGGAGACATGAAACTGAAAATAGTGAAATGTGTCATTTGAATACGTGGCAAGAGCAAACGGCGGGTCTTGGCAAATATTCTCGGTTGTGGGATGTTGGTTAACGTTGGGTTGCTGCGCAGACACGCGTAAAGGTCCAAGCTGTCGTGGTACTAGTCTAATTAACGGGTTGATCGTCAATTAGAGAATTTTTAGAGAACATGGCGTTCGGTTTGACATGCAAGTTGAGTCAGAGAATTGGCATTAAACCAGAACGCTCCCGGAAAGTACCACCAGTTTTGTTTCGACGGACAGGAGACTAATCAACCTCTGTCAGAAGTCATAAACTCTAAATTTCCCCCACCATTCAAACAGCGTCTGTCTTTCGTCTACCATCGGAAGGGAGTGGCAACGCACAGAACTTGCAAATACGTAAACGGTTCCGCACATAGACGTGCAAGTACGTGGTAAGATGATTTTCTGTCATAAAACCATTTTAGAGTGCAGTTATATCCTATGTTATTCACGCTCTATATTTCTCTATGTATATGCGGGTGGTATTATTTATTATATTTTTTCATATATAGCCAGGGTTTCCTCTCCACGAGTCGGAGTGACCTTCTCCTTGAGGCTCATCGCGTAATAGTTTCGTAGAAAATGTGTCTGAAATTGAATTAAGTGCCGCGTATTTATATTTTCCTCAGAATATGTCCTTTTTTTTTTGTAACCTCGATTTCCGGCGTTTGCCAGAGACGTATAGATGCTTCTGAATGCCCTTTGATACCAGTTACATATATGATTAATTACTCATCACTTTTCACTTTCCACGTGCGTTGTACTTCAGTCAGTGAATTTTTGTATTTTTCAGTTGACCTAATCCTTCGGCCGCACTAGGCCCTAGGGTTTACTCGGCTTCTAACAGAAATGAGTACCAGAAATTAATTAAATAATTTTCCTGGTGAGTAAAGCGCGGCCGGCGCGTAAGGCTGACAACCTTACCGCCATCTTTGAGCCGATTGTCTAGATAGTGTAGGACCCTCAACGTCTCACAACCCTATGGGCCTTCACGGCCTGGTACAGGGATAGCTTTACTTTTTACTTTTTTACTTTCAGTTTCTTCAGTACATATTTATCAGTTTGTATAAAAATATCAAATAGTAAACATTCCTTCCCCCCAGTAGGTCTATATGACAGGTTGGTTGCACGATATTGTGACAGCACGAGACTATAGTAACATGATTATGGAGATATGTTTCAGATGTTTTTGGCATATTCCACCAGTTGTTCCCTCTCCTTTCACCCCTTCGCCGCATGTACTGGAGTGTAAAGTTGTGCAGACAATATCGTGGCGTTTTATATACGTGCATTCTCTTAGCTGGACCTGGCCATTTTGGTAGGGCGTGCGCATTCTGCATTTGCTGTCACATGCTTTTTTTTTTTTTAGTATCTTAGTCTAGTAGGACCACTTTATGGATGTGATGCCTTGTAGTCTGCCAGATCTGGCAGAAGAACTTTCCTTCACGAAGATAAACACAGCATGTACCTTCGTAAGGATTAAACAGAGCACACAGCATGACAGCAGTAATCTTCACAGGGACCGCCATGAGAACCTCACATCTGGCGTTCTTATATATTCGCATTTTTTAACGATAAGGGGGGGGTCTAGCAATAATGAACACCAAATATGTTCCGCGAATGTTTGATATACGACCCTTTGGATTAGATTAATTTTTTATATTTAATGCTCCTCTGTCCTGCCAAAATTAAATAGTTGCTATACCCGTGTGGGCCTGATGCGGACAGAGAAATAGAATAGGCCTATTACGGTATATGTAGATGACGCCACTGCTGTTTCTTTGTTAGGAACTGCGATGTAATCCCTAATAAGGTCTATTGCAAAAATATTCGTCTTCGTAGGGTGTTTTCTGGGATTTTATGCAATTCGCATTGTGGAAAGAGTTGTGCCTGCATGTTCAGTTTGGTTTGCAGGTAATGGGTAATAAACCCTATTCCAAATTTGAATGAAAGCGTATTACCCAGATGAAACAAAACTCATAGGTTGTGTTCAGCAATGACCAAAAGCGTTTCAAACATAAGCTATTTGTATTTTGTCTAAATCGTACATCCGTGCCCTGGAAGTTTCACGTCGCGTATGTAGACCTACGGATGGCAGCTGCATGAGGCAATATTGATAATGCTTTTAGCAGTTAAAATGTAGATACTGGTAATTCGATAAGGGAGGAAACCATTTCCAAGTACCCCAGGGCAAGAACAGTTTTACAGGAAACGCTATTGGTGGTGGTGGGGGGGCTCTTGTCAATACAGACGAATAACAAATTACGTGTTTTGCATCTGGTTGCATATTACTCGTGCAAGTGCTCATATATATTGTATGTAGATTGCTGTAATTGTCGGTCACAGTGGCCGCGCGTTCTAGGGCATGAACCGTCTTCGCACGCTCGAACACTGGAATCGTGGGTTCGAATCCCACCCAAGGCATGGGTTGTCTGTGTGCGTCTGTTCTGTGTATAGGTAGCGGCCTTGCGACAGGCAAATCCCCCGTCCAAGGAGTCCTACCGGCACTGTATAGATTAAGAAACTGAAAAAGCGTCAAAGGTCCACAAGGGCTGTAGAGACAGAGATACATAGTTGGGTGGGTAGTGCTTAATTGCCGTTAGTATCCTTAAACACGGTTGCTAAATTAGACCGAATTGTGACATATTCTGTTAGTATTTGTTACACATATTAAGTTTATCTCAGGGTTTTTGGGCAATTCAGAATTTTGCCCTCACTTGCTTATGCTAATCATTCTTGCATGATATTTTACATTCATATTTTTCATATTAGTAAATTATGCTTACCAAAGTTCTGAACTGCATATGTAGAACGGACAGAATTCAGTGAGACTGGTGTTTACAGAAGCCTTGCCGGGCTTCAAAAAAGGGGGCAAATTGCATTTGCATCATGTTACTACATTGTATACATAATTGCCTGTGTTATTCTCTTGTATAAACAATTACTCGCCCCCCACCCACCAGTCTGTATTAATTCCCGTTTCTGGAAATAAGGACGATCGTATTCCCGCGCAGAGAGTTGATTGGTGCAGTTGCGACCAATCAGATGTGTAACAGCACAATGACGTGTACGTTGGTGACGTAATGGGTGTTATCCGCTCTTCCCTTCCTCTCACGCACTCTTCCCTCTCTTCTCTCCCACTTTTCCTGTTGATGAGCGGTGGGAGAGAAGAGAGAAAAAGGTTTTTAGCTCGCGTTGTGCCTCAACTGAAAAGTGGACATATTTGTAAGCTCATGTAGAGATTGGTTTGGGGGTTTCTTCAACTGTATTCCCCCTGAATTGAGCCGAATTTCGTGGCCTGTGTTGTTGTGTTGTGTTTGGAGGTTATAATCCATGGTCGACGTGGTATGTAGGCCTATGTGTGAAAGTAAAAGGTGGTGCGTGCACGCGTCTGTTAAGTTTGAATTTTTTGGAACGTTTCGTCCGGTTGGTAGAGTACCCACCAGTGTGTGTGACGTGTTTGTTTGCTAGATTTGCACGCCCAGCCGGCGTCGTATTCGAAAATAATTTTTAAGTAACGAAGGATAATGCTCAGATAAAAAAATCCCTGCATTAAATGAGATTCTGGGAAGTGAATGAACCTGGTGAGTCGTTACTTTTATCTAAATCGATAAAAGTCAGCGTCGTTCGGCTTCTTTGCGCCGACTGCAGCATAACGTTACAGTCCACATTAAAATGCATGTCTATGTTTTTTTTCTTTGAAAGAAGAACCATAACTGGTAAATGCATAATGAAAGTAGGCTGAATAATCGCCATTTTTGCATGGAGGGTTTATTCGCACACCGGCATGTGTTGCTGAGTCACGACTGTACATTCTTGAATGCTTGCTGATGTGGAATTGCCCGTGGAATCTGACTGAACCCGAGCGATTCCAAGAACTGCAAAAATGGGAAAATAAGGAAAAAGTTACTTGAGGAAGTAGCGTGGCGTTAGCATGAATTTGGTATAAAGAGAAGAGATGCATGGGATGGAAGAGGAAGTGTAGGGTGTTTGAACTAGGGGAGGCCTTGTTTATTGGTCCCTCCATTCTTATTAATTAACACACTTCATCCCCCATAATGTTGGGCCTTTAAAGATTTGTTGATTTTTTAAGGCATTCGGTGGAAGCATGCCACTGTTATTTATATGATGCGTGCCTGACTTCAATATTCTTAATTCTAGAGCCCAAATTTAAACTAGTTGGGTATCCAGCTTTGTGAGAAAGTATTCATTGGGATGGATTTTTGTATGCGCAATGCATGTTCAGATACACAGTACCGCAATACATGACTAGATTATTTGTATCCGCAGAAAGAACGAGAATTGGCAGGGGTGCTTCACTTGAAACAGTGTTATGTATCTCATTCAACAAATGTTTTTATAGTGATGTAATCACATTTTATGAATAATGATATGCCTGTTAAGAACTCAAACCAATAATTTGCAATTGATAACACCTGCCATGTAACTGCAGTGCCTATGTTAAACTGCTCAAAGTAATAATGGGGGGGAGGGGCATTTTTGAGAGCATTACATGTGGCAGTACATCTTTAATTTCGGAAGCTACATCACAAGGAACATTTTCATTCATTTTGTGGGAATATTCAGTGTTTAATGATCTTTCTTTCTTGTTTGCAGTGCGGGTGGTAAGATAGTGTTGACCAACCTTCCTTTGCATGTGAGGATAGAGGACTTGGAGCCACTGCTGACTCCATTTGGTTCCGTCCAGAACTGTGAGAAGCTAAACTCACGAGATGGCTCCACACAAATTGTGCAAGTCAGCTATGAAACTCAGGAGCAAGCACAGCAGTGAGTATATAATTCTCTTGGGAAGGCTTTCTGTGGCTAGGATGAAATAGCTTAGAACATGCATTGGAGGATGGGTGTTTGAGTTTGAAAACCTTTTCATGCAATGTAAGATAATGGATATAATGCCATGCAGTCTGGTTGAAGTCAACTGACATTTTGGAAGAGTGTTAGTGGACATCTACCAGACCACACAACAGCTCTTCTGCTCCCACCTTCGACCCAAAATGGGTTTTATTTAGTGATGCATGTCAAAGCAGATTTAGAAACAAAACAGTGCTGCAATGGCAGGACTTGCTGCCTGGCAGGATACCGTTTATGGAAGTCCTTGTGTGGTTCAGTGCAATGGAAGGGACCAACAGTTGGTAGTATTTAAAGATAACTTAAAACTTGAACTTCGTAGACTTTAAAACTTTTCCCAGTTGCTGCACCTCTTTTGTTACAGGGCTGTGAGTGAGCTAAGTGGTTACGTATATGAGGGCGTTTCTCTGAAAGTGGAGTTTTCAATGGAGCGTCGAAGCCGGGGACGTGGCGGGTCAAGAGGAGGTGCTGGCGCTGGTTTTTCTGGGCTGCCAGGCTCGGGTCGCCAGACCGATTTTCCTCTCCGCATTCTGGTGCAGAGTGACATGGTTGGAGCGATCATTGGCCGCCAGGGCAGCACTATTCGCCAAATTACACAGCAGACCAGAGCAAGGTTGGTGTGTGCACTATTCGCCAAATTATGCAGCAGACCAGAGCAAGATTGTGTACAGAGCAGTGGTTTTTACTGTACATCATAGTTTATTTCTCTGCAAGGCACTTGTAGACAATATTAATTCCAGCCCAACCTGAAGTTACTCCAGGTTTTTAATTTCTGTGCATAGTGGTTCAACCAGAAATTTGGTGTCTGTGTATGTGAATACAAAGACATAGTTAGCAGGATGAAAACATCTGGATCACCTTACTAACCTGAAAATAATGAGAGACCAAACACTGATTCACAGGAAAGGGCATCTCCTTATTTTCAAGTCCTCAGTAAATTTGAAGATGATTGTTAAGAGGAGTTCTAATTCCCCAGTTCAGTGATATTTGTGAAAATGCCTAGAAACGTGTGGCTTGCAATGACGAGGCAGTTGTTTCTGTTCAGCTGTAGAAGGAACAGTGCATAATTTTTCCCCACATACAGCACTAACTCTTGTATCATTCTCTGCCTGGTACTGTAAAAAGGTGCTTTGAAACTCGTCTTATTTTCTAAGCACTTCTGGAACTACTATTCTTCTTTCTTCAGCCATGCTCCACAGTGTGCAGCAGTGTGAGGGTTGCCTGAGAGAAAATACCTGAAATATTCAGCTGTTGGTTGTAGAAGAGATTGAACACATCACTTGCATCCAATCTGAATTCACTGTGCGCTGAAAAGTATTGGGTCAGTGATATGCCCCCACTTTTGCATTGTCCAAGACAGGATTTACATCACTCATTTTTGTGTTCATATATTTTGCATTTTGACACAATCACTGAGGTAAACTTGGTTGTGAATAGCATCTGCGGAACCCTGGCTGTCGTGCACAGCCAACAGCAGTCAATTCTTTCAAGCTCGTGCACAACCATTATTTCATATGGATGAAATTTATTCAGTCTTGTTTTAAATGCAAACCCCATTGAAACACCAATTTTTTTGTGTTGAAGCTAGTTACGGTTTGCAGGACAGTTGCTTACCTTATCTGCCCAGTGCTTTCTTTTCGTTTGTTTCTCTGGACTTTTTCTTTTGTCACAAATTAAACCCACATTGTCACTTTTTACTAGCTTCGATAAGGAGACTTTCTGTAGGAACTCACTCTTGGGCATTTATGAGTGAACCTTCTGATGACTTGCGGTTTGCTTTTTCTGAAGGATTCAAGTATGAACGTTTGCTGTTGATAATATGATGTCCATGTTTTGTACCCATCCTTTCTCTACAAACTGTGGGGTTGAATTTGGTCTTCTTCACCCACCGCGATAAAAAAGATTAGTCATAACAGAAGTTGTTAACTTGAAGTTCTGTTCCTGATGCTTTGTGTATTGGCATTCAGAAATCTTTGGGTTTCTTTTAGGGCCTGTTAAAAATGTGTTAAAGGGAAAGTTCTCCACAGCCATTTCCGAAAGATAAGTAGGCAGACAGACAAGAGGCAGCGTTGAAGCAAATGCTTACAAAATTGCAAGAGACTGTAAACTGCTAGGGAAACATTTCAGCATTAAAAGAAAATGTCTGTTCTATAGGTTTTTAGTGGAAAGGAACTAAAATAGATGCCTAACTAATCAGGTATCAGTGTAAGGGAACAGAATCTGTTTACAGCCTGCTCGTATGTACAGGAATGAAGGCTTCCAACATAGTATATGGATGAACGATGGATCACATATGACACACATTAGCACTTACAAAATTGAAAGTCTTTGGCAGAACACAGCCACAAAATTTTTTTCATGCATCTGTATGAACCTGATCTTAACCCCACTGAGCTGATTTTGGCAACAGTTAAGATTTCTTTTTGCCGATTTTTTTTAATTGTATGGTGAATTCCTGGTGAAAATTTTGATTTGGTCTCAAAAGGAAATTGGTAACAGATGTGATCCGATGCAAATTGTGGAGGATCAGTACATGAATAATGCTTTCTTGCATTGGGTTTGGATATGACAGTGACAGCAGCTGTAGTAAGCTATTGGGGCTGTTGCTTGTGTTGTAGAGTGGATGTACATCGGAAGGATAACGTGGGGTCACTGGAAAAGGCCATTACTATCTATGGAAACCCAGACAACTGCACCAATGCTTGTCGGAGAATCTTGGAAGTAATGCAACAAGAAGCCAATAACACCAACAAAGGGTAAGTGTGTTTCGTGAATTGGCTGTATACTGGTATTGTTCTTGACTACTACTTTAAAATGCTTTTGGCAATTAGTCATTGGCTTGTCTTATATTTTCATTGTTACTTTTATCCTTTAGCTGTAGCTATGGCACAGACACGCCACGTGATAGTAAGATGTATACAGAATGCAGGTTGAAATGGAAAAAGTCAGTTGCAAAAATAGCAAGATTGCCCTAATAATTATATAGTAAAAGTTCAGAAAATTGCGATAAACAGAAAATGGAGTTAACAAGAACACGTGCTTAAGAAAAGTGCTTTCAGAAAAATAAACACACCTCAAAATGGTGTCTGTGGTATTGTTACAGTATTTATTATATTCATTATTTAGTCAATAAACTGTGTCACCAAGCAGGTTGGGCAAGCATTAAGATGCTTAGACTTTTATTTGGTAAGTACTCAGTTTGAGTCCTGGCTGGAACAGCATTAACTGTGGCTCGTGTTTTCTTGTCATTTCCTCATTTCTTTCAGGAGAATGCTGGGATAGTGCATTTTTTAGGTCACAGCCAGGTTGTTGTGTTGGACTTGGTAATTACATCTTGAAAAATAATAAGTAAAGAATCATGGGAAATTATGAACATGAAGGTGCATTTATTTTAACCTCTGTTTTGCCTTGCACTTTAAACATGTGTACAAAGTAGCTCTGTATCAGTCCTTTGTAAATGGTGCCCATGTTGCAGTATCTGAGTGTTATTTACAGTTTTATACTGTCTGATGTTGGGAGAAACTAGGAAATATTGTGGTGTCAATCAGCTGTGTTTTAGTTTAGGTTATGAGACAGTCTCTGAAACATCCGACTTCAACTTCACATTGATGCAGCTGATCACATGAAAAGACTTGTGGTCGTAAGAAGTAAGAGAACTGTAACAAAGGTGAACATTATATAAATCCTGTTTCTGCTTACAGGGAAATATCACTGAAGATCCTTGCTCATAACAACTTGATCGGGCGAATCATTGGCAAAGGGGGCAACACAATCAAACGTATCATGCAGGACACAGATACAAAAATAACAGTTTCCAGGTAAGTTTATGGGGATATGATTTTGTAATAATAGCACATCAAAGTCTAATGCTTACAGACTAGAACAAGATAGCGCAAATTCTGATATAAAAATAATTTTTTTATTTTAGATATTTTCTCTGCTTTTGGGTTGTAGCTTATAGTGATGATGCAGAGACTTTCTGAGCAAGATCATAATTTTTGTTATGACACTACTTTGCGTGTTGGTTGGCTATAGCTGCAACACAAATTTTGGGTTCAGGCCCACCTTGTGAATGTTTAGCATATGATAGAGAGAGGCACTCACACAGTGTGGGAGTGTGGAGGGCTCTCAACTGTTGTGTGAAAGACAACAGTAAGATGTTTTTGCACTTGCTAGAATATTTTGTTTTCTAATAGCTTGAGAGATGTCCTATCACAGTCTTGCAGCAAAGTGGCATTCCTTGCGTGCTGAGATCCTCACGTGTATTTTCGTAAAGAACAGATTACTGGGCCCCCATGTTCACTGAACTTATTGTGTTATCTAAAGGACAAACTGAACTCTTTACAAATGATTTTTATAGTATTTTACTCATTGTTCATCAGTGGCAAAACAGCCCTTTTTAAGCCATATATTTCCGTAGGAAGATTTCTGCCAGCTTGCATCCAATTTTCAATTCTTTCGATTTCCCAGCAGTATTTCTTTTACAGAGCAAGGTTCTCAGCCTTGCATCCAACCCACAACCTGGAGGACCAGGTGCCTGTATTTATGTCCCCCATTGACAGGGTGGCGCAGTTATACCCCCAGGCACCAGGCTCCCTTTTCATCACCTTCTATGACTTGCAGGGCTTCAGTGTAGGTATTCTAACTTGCCTCCACATGTGGTTTACTCACATTTAGTGAAGAAATATCCAGTTTCTACATGAAAACTCTGCCTCAGTTTCATATCATGTCACTTGAATGAGGACCCCCCCCCCCAAGTTCCCAGGCAAAAAAGAAGTCTTGATTTGGCATAAAATATGCTGATGGTTTGAAACGTTAAGCTCTTAGCAGGTTGTTGTTTCTAAAATGCAGTCAATTTTAACATTCCCGCTTTGTGGTGGTGTCAGTGCGACAAGCGAGAGAGAAAATGAAGCAGATATATTTCAAGGTCAGGAGCCAACAGTTGTGACAGGATTGCCTTTAGATTTACTAAAGATGCATTTCCCTGCAAAGTGATTACAAATACTACAACAAAGATGGTGAAATTGTGAGTTGCAAAAACAGTTCATGTGAGAAGAAAGAAACAAATTTAATATGTGACATTTTAAAATATTTATTATTCTGTCACATTTATTTGTAATAACTACACAATTAATGTGGGACATTTTAATGGGGAGCTGTCTTACAGTTGGGGAAAATATGGTATTTACATGCCATTGTTGTTTGCTCAGTGGGACCTTGAAACCTGCATGTCATCTTGTTGACCTTCACCATGGCCAGTGCAATTCTGAATGCTGCTCCAGGCAATGAGAAATTCCGCCCCTCGTTAAAAGCAACCCAGCTTTCTCAAAACACTATTGAGATTAACATCACAAAATTTCCAGACACTGTTGAGGCTCATGCAGGTCTAAACACTGCGCCAGGCAACAAAGCAATACACATATCCCAATCTTTCTTAAAGTTTTGTCCTAGTTAATGACCATGCAATGGGACAAAAACTGCTACGTTTTATTTACATTGTTATATAACATATTTAGATTAATGCCAGCTAATGACCATGATACAAAGATCAGCAGAACTTAGTTTTAATTTGAAGTGGGTTGGGGTAGATGTTCCACTCATGCAGACAGTTATTTTGTCTGTGCTGTCATGCTTGTCCCATTGTGAGAGAACAAGCCTACTTCATTTAGGAATATTAAACTCATCTCACTCTGTTAGCATGTGTGTGTATGTGCATGGGTGAGCGTGCAGTTATTTTAATTAATAGTGGGTTTTCATTCTGGGTTACAGAATTATTTTGATTTTAAGCAAGCCTTAAATGGGGATATCACAGTAGCTTGTTGCCTAGGATACAGAAATTAGCTACAGGTGCAGCTAGGGCTATGCCATAGCTCAGGCGGTTAGTCGCCAGATTCCCACCACGGTGGCCTGGGTGCGAGTTTGGGTCAGGTCATGGGATATCTGTGGTGGACAAAGTGGCACTGGGGCAGGTTCTTTCTGTGTGCTTCGGTTTCCCCTGTCAATTCTCATTCCACCGACTGCTCTACATTCATCATCTGTCATCCCTGGCTGCTACAATAGGCCAATTAGTGGTGGACATACCAAGTGGATTGTCTCACCCCACCCCAAGAAACTTAAGTACAGGTGCAGTTTGTGCTAGGCTTCATTCAAATGGAATCATATTAAAATAATAAACTAATAAAAGTTTATGCTGTGGTATCTAAGTTTGTTTTATCCTTTCAGTCCTATTGCATCAATAGATTCTTATTAATATTCCAACTGGTTGGATTTTTTGTTTTCAGGAAGGTTCTCTGTCCTTGTATTGTCCTTGTGTGAGCTGCCAGAATGGTTTTCATGTGGAATTGTTAACACCTCAGTTCTTTTGATTCTTCATAAATTGGACATGTACTTGGATAATGCCAAATTTTTGTTCTGCATTGCTGTTGGTAGTTTCTTCCCCTTCTGTTACAGCCAATTAGTTCTTCTGTGTAACCAAATCTGTGACACCATAGAACCACCCCTTTTCAACATGGACATGTGTGATTTTGTACTGTGGTTTTCATTTACGTTTGCTCTCAGAAATACAGGGGCATTCAAAAAGAATGAACCGATTTTATTACGCAATATTATGTTAAAGGAAAGTAATACAAAACTCCAGCCAAGTCACAAGTATTCTATTCACAATCAACTTTTATTTCCTGTCTTACAAGTGTTGAATGTGGCCACCACCTGCAGCATGGGCAACATCAATGCAGTAAGAGAATTCCTCCAAGGCGCGTATCAGCATATCACGATGCACTGAGTTAATCGCTGTTGTTATTCAGTGTTTAAGGTCATCGAGGTTAGAGGGTAGCGGTGGAACATAAACGTGATCTTTTGCATATCCCCACGCGAAGAAATCACACACGGTGAGGTCCGGGGATCTCGCAGGCCAAGCACAAAGAGCAAGGTCTTTGGCCCGCTACCGACCAATCCATCGCTTGGGCACTTCTTCAATTAAAAAAGCTTGGACCATCAGGTGCCAATGGGGCGGTGCTCCATCTTGTTGAAAAATGAAGTCATGCAAATCTGCTTGCAGTGAAGTGAAGAGCCAGTTTTGGAGCATATCGAGATAGGTTTGTCCTGTAACGGTGTTTCCTTCAAAGAAAAAGGGACCATAAACCTTGTCCTGAGACACAGCACAGAAGACGTTCGCCTTAGGGGAATCTCTTTCATGCTCAGCTGTTCTTATGTGGGTGCTCTCTTCCCCAAATATGCACACTGTGACGATTGACTGTGCCGCTCAAGTGAAAAGTCGCTTCATCACTAAAAATTAAACGTGAAATGAAGGTTTTGTCTTCCATCATCTCCAGCATTGAATCGCAAAATTCCAACCGCTTCCTTTTGTCATCATTGGTAAGTGCCTGAACGAGCTGCAGTCTGTATGGTTTCAAATATAGACGTACTGTTAGCACACGCCAGACAGTGGATTGAGGGATCGCAAGCTCACGGCTAGCTCGATTTGTTGACTTCCGCGGGCTCCTCTCAAAGGCAGCACGGATTCTTGCCACTTGTTCCTCCGAGGCTTGTGGTCATCCTGGACTTTTTCCTTTACACAGACACCCACTCTCTTGAAACTGTCGAAACCACCGTCGAATGTTCTTAGGACAGGGCGGATTAATGCCGAATCGCCTTCGAAAAGCACCCTGCACCGTGACAACCGAATTTGTTTTTGCAAACTCAAGAACGCAGAACGCCTTTTGCTGAGGACTCGCCATTCCGAGGGTAAACGAACAACNAACAACTGAACGTTGCCGGAAGAACGACGCGACTTCAGCGCCCCTGTGGCAGCCATTCACAACTTAGATAACTCCTCTTTCAAATGGTCACTGCCTCATTCCATGACGGTGCTTGAGAGCTGAAGAAATGTGTCATGAAATCGGTTCATTCTTTTTGAATAACCCTGTATATGCATTGGGAACAGATCAATTGAGTACTGCAGAAATGGTGTCCCCTATTAGTAATGCAGGTCGTTGACCTTGAGTTGAGACAGCACTGTGAAACAGCCACATTACCCACCTGTGAAGACATTTTTTCCTCAGTACTACTGGTAATGTAAGGAACTGACTTCAGTAGGGAACTTTCTAAGTGTGTGCATGTAAGGCAACCCTTACACAGGGGGTCCTGATGAAAGGTATCCAAAATAAAATCATTATATCTCAGAAAGAATTTATTATACACATTAATGGGTTGCATCATTACAAAAGGAAACTGTTTCTGCGTATATAGCTTTCTCAGTAAATTGAAATGTGGGCTCCCNAATCTGCTTGCAGTGAAGTGAAGAGCCAGTTTTGGAGCATATCGAGATAGGTTTGTCCTGTAACGGTGTTTCCTTCAAAGAAAAAGGGACCATAAACCTTGTCCTGAGACACAGCACAGAAGACGTTCGCCTTAGGGGAATCTCTTTCATGCTCAGCTGTTCTTATGTGGGTGCTCTCTTCCCCAAATATGCACACTGTGACGATTGACTGTGCCGCTCAAGTGAAAAGTCGCTTCATCACTAAAAATTAAACGTGAAATGAAGGTTTTGTCTTCCATCATCTCCAGCATTGAATCGCAAAATTCCAACCGCTTCCTTTTGTCATCATTGGTAAGTGCCTGAACGAGCTGCAGTCTGTATGGTTTCAAATGTAGACGTACTGTTAGCACACGCCAGACAGTGGATTGAGGGATCGCAAGCTCACGGCTAGCTCGATTTGTTGACTTCCGCGGGCTCCTCTCAAAGGCAGCACGGATTCTTGCCACTTGTTCCTCCGAGGCTTGTGGTCATCCTGGACTTTTTCCTTTACACAGACACCCA